GTTGTCTGAGGAGGGCTTACAAATAGTTGAGAAAAGAAGTGAAAAGCGAAGGAGAAAGGGAAAGATAAACTGAATGCAGAGTTCCAGAGTATAGAGAGGAGAGATAAGAAACCATTCTTCAGTGAACAATGCAAAGAAATAGGACCCATCTGGGCAGGTTCATTCCAATCCCAAAGAAAGGCAATGCCAAAGAATGCTCAAACTACTGGACAATTGCACTCATCTCACACACTAGCAAAGTACTGCTCAAAATTCTCCAAGCAAGGCTTCAACAGTACACTAACCATGAACTTACAGATGTTCAAGCTAGATTTAGAAAAGGGAGAGGAAACAGAGATCAAATTGCCAACATCTGTTGGATCATCAAAAAAGCAAGAGAGTTCCAGAAAAACACCTACTTCTATTTTATTGAGGATGCCAAACCCTTTGACTGTGTGGATCACAACAAACTGTGGAAAATTCTTAAAGAGATGGGAATCCGAGAACACCTGACCTGCCTCCTGAGAAGTCTATATGCAGGTCAAGAAGCTACAGTTAGAACTGGACATGGAACAACAAACTGGTTCCAAATTGGGAAAGGAGTACATCAAGGCTATATTTTGTCATCTTGCTTATTTAACTTATATGCAGAGTACATCATGAGAAATGTTGGAGTGGATGAAGCACAAGCTGGAATCAAGATTGCTGGGAGAAATATCAATAATCTCAGATATGCAGATGACACCACCCTTATGGCAGAAAGTGAAGAGGAACTAAAGAGCCTCTTGATGACAGTGAAAGAGGAGAGTGAATAAGTTGGCTTAAAACTCAACATTCAGAAAACTAAGATCATGCATGGCATCGGGTCCCATCACTTAATGGCAAATAGATGGGGAAACAACAGAAACAGTGACAGACTCTATTTTATTGGGCTCCAAAATCACTGCAGATGGTGACTGCAGCCATGAAATTAAAAAACACTTGCTCCTTGGAAGAAAAGTTATGACCAACTGAGATAGCATATTAAAAAGCAGAGACATTACTTTGCCAACAAAGGTCTGTCTAGTCAAGGCTATGGCTTTTCCAGTAGTTATGTATGGAGAGCAGGACTATAAGGAAAGTTGATCACTGAAGAATTGATGCTTTTGAGCTGTGGTGTTGGAGAAGACTCTTGGGAGTCCCTTGGACTGCAAGGAGATTCCTTAGACAGTCCATCCTAAAGGAAATCAGTCCTTAATATTCATTGGAAGGACTGGTGTTGAAGCTGAAACTCCAATACTTTGGTCGCCTGATGCAAAGAACTGACTCATTGGAAAAGGCCCTGATGCTGGGAAAGATTGAAGGTAGGAGGAGAAGGGGATGACAGAGGATGAGATGGTTGGATGGCATCACCGACTCAATGGACATGAGTTTGAGTAAGCTCAGGGAGTTGGTGATGGACAGGGAAGCCTGGCATGCTGCAGTCCATGGGGTTGCAAAGAGTTGGACATGACTGAGTGACTGAACTGAACTGGGCAGGTTTAAAAAATCCTGATACCCTGGGGTTTCTGAGCAAAGGAGCTGAAGTGTGCTCTAAGTGCATTTTAAGAGTTTCCAGGAAACCCCTAGTAGTATACATCAAAGATTCTCTGGAAAGTGACTCGCAAAGAATTCCTTCACACCTAATTGGCAGAGAACATTTTCCTCAGTGATTGATGTACTGAAAATAGAGAGATGAGGTGGTCTCCAGTCTTCAGACAGGGTTTTCCAATTCCCACACATTTCATGTCAACTCAAAAGGTGTCAGCAGTCTGATGGGAGTGCTGGCTCCAGTCTTATCTGTTTACAACTGATAACAAGAAAATGGACCTTCCCCAACTTAGGGGAGTTGGTAGGGGGGTGGTGGGATCTGCCTGCCAACCACTGCGCCTCCAGCTGTTTCCAGACAGCCCTTTCCAGCAGGGCCTTATTAACTAAGCAAACCCGGGCTCCTCTTACTGAAATGGCCCCCTTATAAGACCTTTAAGTAAATGAGAGCAAGTGTCAGAGTGTTTTATCACCCCTAGGCTTTCAGCCCTTTCCCTCCTCAAAGCTGATTTCAACTCTTAAGCAAACACCCAGAGAGGGGCATTGGTCTTATATTGAGCCTCAGCCCTATCTTGCTTGTAAGACATTTCCCTTCCTTTTTCTAAAGTTTCCATTTGTAAGACACACATTTTCAAAACCTTATTTGACATGGGAAATATCATGATGTCTGTGATTTGTCTTAAAAAACTCCATAAAAAAAAATGTGGGAGAAAAACAATGAGGAAAGATTGGCAATGGTTGGCTGCTGAACTCAATTTTATTGACTCCATATCTCAGCTTTTGTGTATGTTTGAGAATACAAAATTTAATAAAAGAAACTGTAGATTTTAGAAAATACTTATAAAACTTTAATATTATCAGAAAGCTTTGGATTTAATATCATCCTATAAACTGAACAGTTTTAAAACTCGTTTAAAGAAATATTCTTTAGCTTACCCATGGTTTTTAGTGTTCAATCCATGTTGCTCATAAAGAAGTTACTATTGACTTAAAGTCATAAATGTAATTCCTTTTGTATATAACTAAATAATGCAATTAGCAAGAAATAACCATTACATATAAAAGTATATTTGTCTTGACTCTCATTACAGATGTTTCATGAAGGCATGAGACAACCTCCTCTGTATGTTTTGCCTGCTCAGATCTGTGGGTTCTGGTCTTTGCAGCTCGTGGACCCAGGTTTTGGGAGGTCTCATGGCAGCCAACCTCATCAATTTCTTAATAGTTTATTTAACAGCATCTTTAATTAACTTCCCATTTAAAGGTTTAAAACATTAAATCAGTATCAAAGAATATTTCATCTTTGGAGGATACATATCATTATTGGAAAACACTTTTTATACTAAAATCATAGGACAATTTGTATCAGAGTTGCAAAGTACCCTCTGTACTGTGAGGCAAGGGTCCCAGTCCCTATTTTGGCAATTAGAAAAACCGAAAATTAGCAAGTCCCAGAAGAAGCCCCTAAACCACTCCCCTCTTGGTTCAGAGCAGGCTCCTCATCAGACGCTAGTGAAACAGGGAGGGGGCAGGGCACAACCTTTGAAAGAATGAGGACCCAGCATAAGACAGAGTCCAATGGGTCCAAGTCTAGTCAACCTGGATTAGACCTTGATCCTCAGTATAGGCTCAGTACACATCAGCGAGGTAATGACACACTCAGAGATGCCATGACAGTTGAAGGCCCACCATCAAAGATCAAAATGTGGGTGGTGACCCAATTCCTGGAAATCTCCACCCCTTCCCCCAAATAGTTGGAATAATTCTCCCACTCATTAGCCTATGAAATTACTCAGCCTCTCTCCTTCTGAGATAGCTTACACTCTGTCTGCAGCGTGTTTCTTTTTAAATAAATCCACTTCTTACCTATCACTTCATCTCTCACTGAATTCTCTCTGTGATGAGACATTAAGAACATGAGCTTCTTGAACCTCCAGGGAGGGGACATATGTCCACCTATGGCTGATTCATGTTGATGTTTGACAGAAAACAACAAAATTCTGTAAAGCAATTATCCATCAATTAAAAAAAAACCCACAAACCTGAGTGTCATTAGGTCTTGAAACCAGGTCTGTGAACTCAGTTGGAAGACTGTGGCTTTTGGCTGGGTTTGAGTTCCTGCACATGAGTTCAAGTCCCAGTGAGGTGAATAGTTTTACTAGCAGGAGGCACTTACCTCTGTGCTCTGTGGTCTTCAGATACCCAGTGTAAGGCTTGCCTCATTGTGGGCCATATCACACAGCACACTACAGCTTTCTTATAATATCTGTGCATTTCACGTTTTTCAAATATCTAAGTGCCAAAGGTTTGGGACTTCAACTCAAAGCCTCGGTTGCCTCAGCAAAATATGGAGGGTAAAAATAGTGCCTCCCCTGAGGGGCCCTGTATTAAGTGGGTAATGAATATGATATAGTGATCATTATACTAGGCACAGAGAAAAGGCCTAGTTTGTAAAAATACGATGCATTCCCAGAAAGGAGGTGTTGAAATGTCTCTCTTTTATATTCATGCTCCCCATCTGAGGCTTGGAATCAAGCCAGCTGGTTCTTTTCCACACAGCAGCTCCCTTCTCTAGCTGGGCCCCTCACCATCTCCTCAGTGCAAGGAGTGTGCAATATAACATCTCTATTTCCACATGAAAACTTTTTGGTTCATGTTGAGGTTTTATTGATAATTTTTTGTTTTTTTCCAGGAAGGGAAAAGGCTATTGCCTTGTAGTCCCCAGTGTTTTACATTAGGGGTTGGATCCTCCTGCTACTATCAGCACTGTAAACTCTGCAGGGGAAGAGAACCAGCCTGTCTACACAGGCCCCGCCCCTGGCCCTAGCAGGGTATCATTGAGGGGATGGTCCCCGAGGTTCTGTGCTGGACCCTGCCTGTCACAGCACAGCCTTTGCCAAAGCCATTGCACAGCAGAACCTAGAGGAGATCGCATTGCTGTTTCTCACAGTTATTTAGAGGCCAAGATAGACAGCAGGAAACACCTGTGTCTTCTGTACTTATCCATCTTGCGTCCTGAGGCAGTTCTTCCAGTAACTGCAGTAAAGACATCTTCAAATACAAAAACTGTTCAGACTCAGTCCCGTGGAATTGATCTTCAATGTATCCATGAGAGGAGCCTTTTTTATACCAGACGTGTCCGTGGGAAAATGACCTGGAGCCATTCTGTTAGGTAAGAACAAGAATCATTTAAGTCTTAGAGCCAAGAGGGGTGTTTAAGAACCTGGAGTAAATTGCAATGCATGCTTAGTGTTGCTTCTCTTAAAGGGATGGGTACATTCTTGGCCTAAAATCTTTGTAAGGAATGACAACATTAATCAAAATCTACTAGTTACAAAATGATTGCATAATTATCTATTGTACATTAAATATATATTTATACATACATTTGTATATGAATGCATTACATTTTTTACATATGTAAATTTCTGACTAAATTTCTTTAAATATTCTAGGCTTCTGTTTATGATCAGTTTGATATTACAGACCATCCCCATGGGAAACAGTAAGGAGCATTTTGTTTATATTCTCTTAGTTTTTATTGCATATTTGTTTGTCAGTCATTATCAGTCTCATATTTTCAATTAATTTTTAAGGCTGTCATACAGGGAAATATAAAATTAGTAGAGAAGAAAGCAGCAGTGGTAAAGCTCAGAAGTTCCAGCAGAAAACACTCAACTGGACCTTGAATAATTTAAGGGAGGAGAATGACAGCACAGAGGGCTGGAAGCCTCAGGGTTCATTCCCCTACTCCTTGACTTCCCAAGAGCTAAGCGGCAATGCTGCAGACAAAGGCCATCTCGGTCAGTGAACTCCGAGTGTGTGTGTGTATGTGTGTGTGTGTGTGTCTGTGACTGTGTGTCTGTGTGTGCGCGCCTAGTGGGGATCTTCCAGACTTTCTCCTTTGTCTCCTTCCTTGGCAGGCAGATTCTTTACCACTAGGAAGCCAGAACCCTGAGTTTAGAATAATAAAAAAAAGAAAAACCACCCCAAAACAAAAACTAGGATGTTAATAAAACGAGAAATCCAATGAATGACATTTTACCATCTTTAAATATATACTATAAAGTAAAAGGATAAAGACACTATAAAGTATATACTTTTATACTATAAAGTAAAAGTATAAAGACAGAGGATGAGATGGTTGGATGGCATCACCTACTTGATGGACATGAGTTTGATCAAGCTTCGGGAGTTGGTGATGGACAGCGAAGCCTGGCGTGCTGCAGTCCATGGGGTCGCAAAGAGTCAGACATGAACGAGCGACTGAACTGACATATTGATAAAGTAAAAGATATTTCCTAGTGAGGTGTTCTTTTACTCTGAAAAAGTTTTAATATTTTATTGGTAAAACGTGGCTTTGGCTTTTAACTGGTTATTTTTCTGCAGGTCCAGAGCTATCCCAACCCCAGATAATAGCGGACCTTTGCTAGGCTTATCGCAGTCTCTCAGGCTCCAGTGGTAGATTTTTTTTTTAATTGTTTCGGTGTCTTTGCACCCGTGGGTGGTCCCTGCTCGCTCGCCGCTCTCCGGAGAGGCCAGTCTGTAATCACTGTCTTGGGAAGTCACAGCCTAATTTTAACATATGAAAGGAAGGAAGAAAGAAAACGCTACTTGCAGGGGGCAGGGTTTCCCATATGTCTCAGGGAGACTTCCTGACCCGCCCGCACCCCTGGTAGTTTGTTTTTAATCCTTAAACTAACAAACAGGGTTTACCTGAGCAAACACTATTAGCAGGAAGCCAATTTTATTGCCTCCCCGAGGGGATCTCTCTCGGCCCTTCTGGGACATAGAGGGTCCCGCGCGGAGCTGACCCCCCGGTGACGCCCCCACAGGTGCACCTCCGCGGCCGAGCTGCTGCCAGAACGGCGGCACCTGCGTGCTGAGCAGCTTCTGCGTGTGCCCCGCTCACTTCACCGGCCGCTACTGTGAGCACGACCAGAGGCGCAGGTAGGCGCGGGGTGGTGCAGAGGAGACCGGGAGCCCAGCGGCGGCGGCGGGGCCTCGCGGGGCGGGGCCGGGGATGCGCGCGCCGCCTGCACTAACGCCAGGCCTGGGATTCCTCAGCAAGTGCGGCGCCCTGGTGCACGGAGCCTGGACCTTCCGCGGCTGCCACCTCTGCAGGTGCGTCTTTGGGGCCCTGCACTGCCTCCCGCTGCAGACACCCGGCCGCTGCGGTAAGAAGAACCCGCCCCGCCTCCTGTGCTCACAACCCACACTCAGGCAGTTGCTCCTTTATAGGTACCGACCCGTAGAGATCTACCTGTGCCAGACAACAAAGGAATGAGCGATCAGCACGGATTCATCACACGGGAAAGTCACATTCGTGGTGAATCACATGGTGTTTTATCATTATAGTCGTTGAAAAATTTATTCCTAGGTTTCCCATATCCTACTTGAGGAATTTAAATGTGATTTCCAAACAGTGTCCTTAAATGTTCTTTACAGAGAGCAGAACTTTGGAAGCACACAAGCTGGTAATTAGAGCCCTATCTGGCAGACAGGGTCAGTTCAGTTCAGTCTCTCAGCCATGTCCGACTCTTTGCAACCCCTTGGACTGCAGCATGCCAGGCCTCCCTGTCCATCGCCAACTCCCAAAGTGGACTCAGACTCATGTCCATTGAATTGGTGATGCCATCCAACCATCTCATCCTCTGTCGTCCCCTTCTCCTCCTGCCTTCAACTTTTCTCAGCATCAGGGTCTTTTCAAATAAGTCAGTTCTTTGCATCAGGTGGCCAAAGTATTGGAGTTTCAGCATCAGTCCTTCCAATGAACACCCTGGACTGATCTCCTTTAGGATGGACTGGTTGGATCTCCTTGCAGTCCAAGGGACTCTCAAGAGTCTTCTCCATCACCACAGTTCAAAAGTATCAATTCTTTGGTGCTCATCTTTCTTTATAGTCCAACTCTCATATCCATACATGACTACTGGAAAAATCATAGTTTTGACAGGGTACCCAAACTAAATGTCTAGGGACTTCTCTACCCTGGGCCGACACCCACCTTCTCAACTGTGAAATGTAGAGGGTGCCCTGGAGCAGGACAGGAGCAGGCCTGAATGGCCAGGTGCAGGGCTTCAAGGCCAGCCTGGCAGTGCTCCAGGAACCAAGGTGCCTGGTAACCACAGCTCAGGCCTGCCACATAAATAAAAGTCAGTGGGGTGTGGACAACACGCAGGGTCAACACATATTTGTGATGACTCTGAGCAGTTCCCAGCTCAATGCAAATGTTTTACTTGTAAAACTAAGGAACACGAATCTTCTGAGGTCAGAAAATGGACAAAATGCTCGGCTGCAGAGTCGTCATCTCAGGCAGGGACCAGAGACACAGGTATGACAGTTATAGCGTTTCCATGGCCTTTTCCCCTTTGCAGTAAGCTCTGGCTGGGATAGCAGTAAGGGACTCGGTTAATGCAGGCAGAGCTCTTCAGTCCTCTTTGTTAGCCCTGGGTGGGGTCCACGTGAAGGCCGTGGGCCTACTCTCCTTTTCCTTCTTGCACTATAGTCGACCCTGGGCCAATCCCACAGTGTAAGGGCGTGCTTAATGGTGGTACAGCCCTTCACCCCCACTTCACATCCCCTTGTCCACTGTTAGATTGCTGTAGAGAGGCAGCACTCTGGAGGGTGGAGCCCTTCAAGCCACCCTCCTGGTGGGGTTCCCTGGGTGGGGTGCCTGGTGGAGGAACACACAAAATGAGTGCTCAGCTTCAGACCCATCTTCCTCCCTTCCTTCCTCCTCTGCAACCTGGGATAGGAGCAACATTCTAGTGACATTCTTGGTGAAGGTGCAGCCCGTCAGCCCCACTTCTGCCCCCCCTCCTCAGCCAGCTCTGTGTGGGGCCAGCGATGTGTGCTGGGGGTGGGGGGAAGGAGTGGGGGGTAGGGGGAAGGGGTGGGTGCGTGGTGGTGATTATAGTGCAATATACTTTCCCTTCCTCCGTCTCCTGTCAGGCTCTTCATTTGCTGGGCCTGTGCCACTGATTCAGTAGCTGGTCTTTGAATGACCCAGAGAAAGGAGGACACAGATTATGGCATAAGCATCAGAATTGCGGACAGTGGTTGGCACTCCTTGCAGTGATGTGGGGAAAGGCCTAGCTGTGATCATTTTCAGTCTTCTAAGCAAGGGCTTCCCTTTTGGCGCAGCTAGTCAAGAGTCTGCCTGCAATGCGGGAGACCTGGGTTTGATCCCTGGGTTGGAAAGTTCCCCTGGAGAAGGGAAAGGCTACCCACTCTAGTATTCTGGCCTAGAGAATTCCATGGACTGTATAATCCACGGGATCTCAAAGGGTCGGACATGACTGAGCAACTTTCACCTCCACTTTCAAGCAAGGCCAGCTTGGGTTCTAAGCAGCAGAGCAGCAGCTAGGCTCCAGGATGTCTGCTCACATCCTGGAGAACATTCAAGGCTGGGACTGCTGTCTGCCTAGGGCGATGACAGAGACTCTGAAAATGTGGCTTGTGCTCATCAAAGGTGAACCGTCTCTCAGAGTAATCTGTCGGGTGCACTCTGTGACCCACTGATTGTGCATCAGGGCGGATGCCAGTGGTAGGGGCTGTGCTGAATGGTGGTTATGACCCAAGGATGGCAATGACAATGGTAGCAGCAGTGCTGATAGATGATTATGATGTTCTGAGGATGGCAGTCATCATGATAAGCATCTTTATTAGCTCTCAGTTTATTCCAGGGACTTTGTATACTTAATCCCAGTCAATTCTTAACAAGCCTTTGAAATAAGTATTATGCTTTTTATATTTGAGGAAATTGAAGCTTAGAGTGGTTAACTTCTTCAGCTATGCTTTTTTTTTTCTTAAGAGATAAATTATCATATTTTATAATAACATTTAAATTATTTAAAAATATAAATCAACATACAATAGTATGCTGGTATAAACATTGACATAATGATAATTAATATACAATTAATATTAATTGGAATAAAATTGCTACCATTCAGAGTACATAAGCACATCCCTGAACTATGTCAGACAGTTTTTAAAAAAAATGAGATAGTTCAGTTCAGTTCAATCACTCAGTCATGTCTGACTCTTTTTGACCCCAAGGACTGCAGCATGCCAGGCTTCCCTGTCCATCTCCAGCTCCCAGAGCTTGATCAAACTCACGTCCATGGAGTCGGTGATGCCATCCAACCATCTCATCCTATCATCCACTTCTCCTCCTGCCCTCAATCTTTCCCAACATCAGGGTCTTTTCCAATGAGCCAGTTCTTCACATCAGGTGGCCAAAGTATTGGAGCTTCAGCTTCAGCATCAGTCCTTCCAATGAGTATTAAGGACTGATTTCCTTTAGGATTGACTGGTTTGATTTCCTTGCAGCCCAAGGGACTCTCAAGAATCTACTCCAACACCACAATTAAAGACCATCGATTTTTCAGTGCTCAGCTTTCCTTATGGTCCAACTCTTGACATCCATACATGACTACTGGAAAAACCATACCTTTGACTCGATACACCTTTGTTGTCAATGTAATGTCTCTGCTTTTTAATATGCTGTCTAGGTTGGCCATAACTTTTCTTCCAAGGAGCAAGCATCTTTTAATTTTATGGCTGCAGTCACCATCTGCAGTGAATTTTATGATTACCATGTAGCATTATATTAGTTTCAGGTATACACAATGATTTGGTATTATATACAAATATATATAATTGAGAAATGATAACCATAGCAAACCTAGTTGACATCCATCACCATACAAACAATAATGACTTTCTTTTTCTTGTGATGAGAAATTTTAAGATCTACTCTCATTGTTGTTCAGTCGCTCAGTCATGTCCAACTCTTTTCAACCCCATGGACTGCAGCATGCCAGGCTTCCTTGTCCTTTACCATCTCCCAGAGCTTGCTCAAACTCATGTCCATTGAGTCAGTGATGCCATCCAACCATCTCGTCCTCTGTCATCCCCTTCTCCTCCTGCCCTCAGTATTTCCCAGCATCAGCGTCTTTTCCAATGAGTCGGCTCTTCACATCAGGTGGCAGCTTTAGCATCAGTCTACTCTCTTGGTAATTTTCAAATATACAATGCAGTATTATTAACTGTAGTCACCATCTTGTACATTACATCAGTTTCTTTTCTTTTTTTTATTTTTAGATTCTACAAAAAAGTGAAATCAGATGGTATTTGTCGTTTTTGTCTCAGTTATTTTGCTTCCCATAATGCCTTCAAGTTCCATCTATGTTGTTGCAAATGGCAAGATCTCCTTCCAGACTTTTCCTATAATTTTTAGTGTAAAATAAATATTCTTCGTAGTGATTTTTTTACACTGAAATTTTATTATGGATATAATTAGAACTCTTATTGGTAAAGCTACATTTTTTATTGAATTTTCTCTGAGCCACTGAGTAGATTTGCCCTAAATATGTCTTTTTTTTAATTGAATGAAAGATTCTTTCAATTCTATAGTGTTTTCTAAATTTTTGGAAGTCTCACACACATGATTTCACATAATAGTCCTTTTATTTTATGAATGCTTATATTGCCCCTTCCCTCTTTCTTCTCTCCTCTGGCAAGCACTAGTTTGTTTTCTGTACCAGTGAGTCTGCTTCCTTTTTGTTTTATTCAATACTTTGTTGAGTTTTTTAGATTCCGCGTATAAATTCTACCATTCAGGATTTGTCTTTCTCTATCTGCCATTTGACTAAGAATAATACCCTCCAAGTCCATTTATGTTGCTGAAATGGCAAAATTTTGTTTTATGGCCGAGTAGTATTCTCTCCTGTGTGTGTGTGTGTGTGTGTGTGCGTATCACATCTTCTTTATCTATTCAACTGTTGACAGATACTTAGGTTGCTTCCATACTTTGACAATTTTGAATAATGCTGCTATGAACATTGGAGTGCATGTATCTTTTTGAATTAGTGTTTTGGGGTTTTCTGGATGTATACCCAGGAGTGGAATTGCTGGGTCATATGGTAATTCTATTTTTAGTTTTTTGAAAAAACCCTGAAAATACTGTTTTTGACAGTGGCTTTATCAATTTATGGAGAAGGCAATGGCACCCCACTCCAGTACTCTTGCCTGGAAAATCCCATGGACGGAGGAGCCTGGTAGGCTGCAGTCCACAGGGTCGCTAAGAATCAGGCACGACTGAGCGACTTCACTTTCACTTTTGTCTTTCCTGCATTGGAGAAGGAAATGGCAACCCACTCCAGTGTTCTTTCCTGGAGAATCCCAGGGACAGAGGAGCCTAGTGGGCTGCCGTCTATGGGGTCGCACAGAGTCGGACATGACTGAAGCGACTTAGCAGCAGCAGCAGCACACCAATTTACATTCCAATCAACACTGTAGAAGGGTTCCCTTTTATCCACATTCTCAGCAGCATTTGTTATCTGTATTCTTTTTGATGATGCCCATTCTGATAGGTAAGAGATAACATCTCATTGTGGTTTGGATTTGCATTTCCCTGATGATAAGCCATATTGAGCATCTTTTCATGTGCCTATTGGCCATCTACAATTACTCTTTGGAAAAAGGTCTGTTCAGTTCTTCTGTCCATCCCTTAAATCTGGTTTATTGTGAGTTTTTTTTTAAAAATACTGAGTTGCGTGAGCTGTTTATATATATTGGATATTAATCCCTTATATGTCATATCATTTGCAAATATTTTCTCCCATTCAGTAGATTGCCTTTTTGTTTTGTCGATGGTTTCCTTTGCTTTGCAAAAGCTTTTATATTTGATTGGATTCCATTTGTTTATTTGTGCTTTTACTTGCTTTGCTTTAGGAGACAAATTCAAAAAACACTGCTGCAATTTATGTAAAAGAGTGTTCTACCTCTGTTTCCTCTAGGAGTTTTATTGTATCCATTCTTCTGCATAAGTCTTTAATCCATTTTGGGTTTATTTTTGTGTATGGTATGTTGTTAGGGAATTTTCTAATTTCATTCTTTTACATGTAGTTGTCCAATTTTCCCAGCACCGCTCATTGAAGAGACTGTCTTTTCTCCATTATATAATCTTGTCTCCTTTGTCATAGATTAATTGATCATTTATTAATGGGTTTATTGTGGGCCTCTTTAAGAATATTTTGGATAGTATTATTTAGAATATTGAAAATTTGACCACATTGTAAATCCAATAGCAGAATAATAGGTAAGTAAATGTTTTAATTCCTTTAATGGAATTTTATGATGACTTTGAAGAGTATAAAGAAGATAGAATGGAAAACTGTATTTCCAATATAATTCTAATGTGAAAGGACACATATGGATAGGGGAATCACAAATATTGGGTTGCGAAAAAGTTCCTTTGGGTTTTTTATAATATCTTATGGAAAAATCCAAACAGTTTTTAGCCAATCCGAAAGATAAAAAGTATGCTACAGAATCAGGGTCCTTTGGCTCCTCTAGACACCTAAAGGCCAGAGGATCTCCAAGTGCCCTCTTTGCTTGACACTCTATGGGTCCACGTAAAAGAGGCTTTCTTAATCCCAATATAATATCTTCTCAAGGACATATTTTTCATTCTCTTTCAGAGGAACATTGTTTATTCTCCAGTTTCCTCATGTAAAATGAAGATAATCTGCCCTGCACTTTCACACAGATATTGAAGAATAAAATTTATGCAAAACAGTCTTATTTGTTGATGTGAGCTGTTTTGTAATTTTTCTCTTCCATGACCTAAAATAATGCTCTGTGTATAATAATTCTAAGTAAATATTAAATGGATGACTGTTGACCTTTTAGTTCCAGATATAGTGCCAAAGAAGAAACACCATAAAGGCCATTGCCTACTATAATATTACATTAAAACAATCTATTTTCAGTATTCTATTAATAAATGCAGTATATTTTATACAGGTAAATATCATTCTACCATTTTCTTCATTTACATTTGTAAATTTTGTGTTTAAAGAGGAAATTTGGCATAATAGAAAAAACATGGGAAATCCCCAAAATACTTGTTCAAATCCCGAAATACTTGTTGTAATGTTTACCATCTTTATAAACTGTGCTTCAGTCTCACAGCAGAAATAATTTGCCCCATAGATTTGTAAAAATGAAAAGGCCCTATACCTGTTTTATATTATAAATAAAATAAAATATTGTTGCATTATTGTCACCATCAACAGTATTCATATCAGTACAATGAGGTTAGAAAAAATTGCTTCATAATCTAGCACTTATATGCAAATTTACCAAAATGTGTTTTTTCAGGTTGTGAAAAATATCCTCTATACACATTAATTGGTGAGCATTGCTAGGTTAAAAAAAAATCAAGAAGAATGACAGCCTTGGAGCTCGCAGTCCTTAAATCAACCCATTATCTCATTTTACTGAGAGGGTGATTCTTCCTACATATAACCGAAAGAATTAAGTATTTCTTTAGCATCAAGAACCAATATGTTCTAAAATTTAGAGTCTGTAATGACTCTAAAGTAATGACACAGTGAAGAAGCAACTTAGAACTTCTTCAGAGAGAAACAGGTCATGTAAATGTCAGATTGGGGTCAGGTCAGACCTCACCTCATCCTTCAAACGCAGTTTAAAAAGTACAGTTCTGTCGCATAGCAGACAACCAACCAAACAGCAAGCAAGTGAACGTCTGCAGGCCGGAGCCAGATTGTGGACGTGTTGAAAGGATGGCCTTCCTAGGTCCTGGCCCCAGTTGGCTGTCAGCCGAGGGCATGCTGACTGGGAGAGAGCAGACCCTTTGTCAAATCCCTCTGGGACATACTCCCATGATAGATGTCATTTCAGTGGGGTAGCTTCTCTAGGTGTCACGACAGGAGAGAAAGCCGTTTGGTTTTCCAAGGGCATTCAGGGGTGTCTGTAAACTGGAAAATTTGGGGAATGCTAGCTCTGGACCTCATATTGAAGTATGATTTTATCCTCACCCAAGGTGGTCTCCAAACTATTTTTAAATCACCACTTAGTGGTGGTGACATAGTGCCACAAGCTGAGCATTCACAAATTTGATTTTACTTCTATCTTTCTTTTCACACATGCTTAAGACTAAAGTAATGATAAAAGTCTCTGCGATGTGTAAGTCTAAAAAGAGAACTTTTGGTAAGTATATAATTAAAACCCCATGTTATAGTATATCATCATTGGTAGCCGAGTCTCCTTTTTGGCAGGAAATAAAATAATGATGGGCTTCCAGGTAGCGCTAGTGGTAAAGAACCTGCCTGCTGGTGCAGGAGATGCAGGAGATGTGGGTTTGATCCCTGGGTTGGGAAGATCCCCTGGAGGAGGGCATGGCACCCCACCCCAGTACTCTTGCCTGGAGAGTCCCTTGGACAAAGGAATCTGGTGAACTACAGTCCATAGGTTCTCAAAAAGAGAGTTGGACATGACTGAGTGACTTATCTCAGCAAAAATGATGATAGGCCACAGAACCATTTTGATTTTGTAGGTTCCAATAAACAGTGAATGTGAATAAAGCTCATTTTAATTTTTCCTATCAATATATAGTGGAATTTCTAATATTTTCTCTCTTAGCTCAGTGGGTGACCTTGGGCCCCTTAGGAGGGACATTGCCTGGTGCTCACAGCCCGTTTGGTGACCCCTGCTTGAGGGACTGGCTCATAAAGCTGACTCTAACAATGGCTTTTGAGTTCATATACAAGAAAAGACTGCCAACAGGGCCTGAATCCTCTCTGTGGTCAACCTGTTCCCTTTCACCAGGGGAAAAATCAACAGTGAAGCTCAGTATGGGCTGACCTGTAGCTGCTTCTCACACTGAGAGCACCTGCTGTATCATCAGCTTTTCTGGAGCTTCTTCTGAGCCTGCATGCTAAGGCTTCTGTTTTGTGGGGTTCTCGTACCCTGGAACAACCCTCTCCCATGTGGGGTGATGTGGGGAATGGTGCCCAGGTCTGCAGTGGGCCTGCCCTCAGTCTTGGGCTGAGTGTGGCCTCCTGGCCGTGCTCACCAGTCACCTGCAGAAAGAGGCAGGGCAGGTCTCTGCTGCGGGGGCTTGTCTTTGTCTCTACTCATTAGCTTTTGATGGTTCAAGCTGACCATAGGTTTTGGCGTTCAGAAGGCACTCTCTGGCGGAATCCTAGAGGACAGGGCTTGGCAGGTTTGTCAGGGGGAAGCGCAGGCTGGCCTCTGCCAAGCAGCCTGGGGAAAAAGTCCCTGTAAGTTGGGCCTTTGTATGCTTCACTGCCCAGCCGGTCCCACGTCCAGCCCCAGATTTGCTTGGGAGACTACTTAGTGGCGTTGGTATGCCTGCCTACAGCCATACCTGTGGGGCTTTGTCGGTTTCCCATGGTAACCCTTCACCACTGGGGAGTTTAGCCAACACCCTTAGCTGTTCTCACTACCCCAGAGATTCCCACTCAACACCTCTGGGGTGGGGTCCTGGCTATAGAGAAAGCCAGGCCTACTGAGTCTGGGGCTCAGAGTGAGGCCTGCAGTGGAGGAGCCACAGTGCCTCAGTGGGGTGGTGAGCATGCCAGCCGGGGCACAGTCCCCAGTGCTCCGCAGCTCTGCCTCGTTGTTATGTCCTTTGTGAGAATGTCCACCATTGACTGTTGGAAAGGGTGCTTTCCTCCTCTTTAATAAGTGGTCCCTAGCCAAAGAAATAGTGTTAGATGACAACAGATGGATGCAAGCTGTTTTATTTTATTTTATTTTATTCAGGATCCACTAGCCTGAATTGCTAAATGATGGTATAGTACTCTGGACCACCACCTTGGTTAGCTCATGTGCCAGATGAGAAGGGCTGAAGGACTATTTCTTTGTGAGCCTTAAAAGCAGCAAACAGACTCTCCTTCAGCTCTCCAGGTTACATAAAAATCCCTCTGTTTCCAGCTGCAGTGAAAGGAATGTCCAAGCTAAAGGGAAGCACATCTCCCTGGAGCTGTGCTGTGTTCTCTACAGCTGGTGTCCACCCATGCTCTGTGCTGCCCCCCAGGTGGCCCAGTCCACAGGGCAAGGCCCAGTAAGGAGGCCCAGGCAGAAAAGAGCCTTTCCTTGAGCAGGTGCAGACATTTCTAGCTCATTCTCTTAAAGCAGACCTGCCACAGCATGTCTCATAACTCTCTCGGGATTTTTTTCCAGACTTGAAAGACTTTCTCACCTCACACTCTAATGGACCTAGAACCCAGCTCACGTGGAGTGTTCTCCTCCTCCTGTCCTGCTTCCTTCTGAAATCCATCCTCAGTGAAGGGGGAGCCTGCTGATCAGACCACATTTCACCCACCAGAACCAGAACTATTCCTGGCCTCCCAGCATGGCTGAACCATGGTGCTGCATGGGGAAGCCAGGGATTGTGTGTCCTCTTGCATTGTCTATGTTGTATGTAATAGGCTGGTTTCATTTCTTATAAACTAGAACATTAAATGAATATTTGTAATGCTTAATAAACTTTTTCATGAAAGATCCTTATTGCTTTCCTAGTTATTTCAAGGTACAGTAAGTCTCCCACATACAAACAAGTTCCATTCTAAGAGCATGTTTGTAAATCCAGTTTGCTTGTAAGCCCAGCAAAGTTAGCCTAGGTACCAAGCAAATACAATCAACTATTTAGTAATAGTCTTTCAATACTATTTACACAAATAATACATAAAAACAAACACAAGAAGTAAAGAAAATATTTTTAATCTTACAATATAGTCACTGCTACATCACCACTGCTTTTATGCTTGCTTCTGGACATCTTGGGTTTAAAATATAAATACTGTATTACTGTACTCTATCAATGCAGGAGACCCCAGTTTGATTCCTGGGTTGGTAAGATCTGCTGGAGAAGGGAAAGGCTACCCCACTCCAGTATTCCTGGGCTTCCCTTGTGGCTCAGTTGGTGAAGAATCCACCTGCAATGCAGGAGACCTGGGTTCGATCCCTGGGTTGGAAAGATTCCTTGGAGAAGGGAAAGGCTACCCACTCCAGTATTCTGGCCTGGAGAATTCCATGGACTGTATAGTCCATGGGGTCACAAAGAGTCAGACACGACTGAGTGACTTTCACTTTCACTGTACTCTATACAGTACTATACAGTGAAGAACACAAAAGCAAAACCGCTTGTAGAGAATGCATGTGCTTGACAATGTATGCCAGATCCTCAAAATAACATGATTGGACATGTGAACACATATTCATGTCTTTGAAACCTGACAAAAGTTTATATGTAGGGGACTTACTATATATGACTAGATGTGCAGGAGTAAACACTAGAGGCTGGGACCTATTCATTTGGAATCTCTGATAATTCAGAGTAGACCAAACATGTGGCCCTTCAGGTAACAGCTCCCTTTTACACACTCCTTGAGCCCCACACATAGATTCTGTAACACTTGACATTATTTATTTGTTCACTCAGTCTCTTCACAAGTTCTAAGCCCTGGGGAGCAGGGACAGTGCCACATGTGTGTCCCCAGCACCACTATGCTGTGAATGTGGCAAGGAGCAGATGCCAAAAAATGTTCCATAGACAGAGAAAGGAGGGCAGGAAGGGGAGGGAGCCATGGCTGGAAAAGGCAGCTAGGCATCCTACCTCCTTTTCTCCAGCTTCTACTAATGACTCATTGTGACATGCTTTTACGACAGTTAGCACTTTTTGGAATTATCACCAGTATCTCCATAAAATGGAACTCTTTAAGTGGACCAAGAAGTCTGTTTTCCTACCTATCACACAGAACTTGGGAGTTAGGTGTTTCTCAGTTGGATCTGTCTAATACATTAGCTCTCTATTGATTAAACACAGCCCTATTTGGACAGATACCATACCTAAAAATCACAATAATGAAAACAGGAAGATTATTGCAAATTATTCAGTCAAACAAATCAATGAGTAAAATATGAGAGAGAAAAAGACTCTGGGATAGACAATACAGCCTGAATTAAATTAATTGATCAAAATATTGGTATTTTATAAACCTTGTAGAAGTTCCTTTAAAATATTCAAAGCTGAATGCAATGCAAAGGCCATCACAGAGCTTACTGTGCATGTGATATAAAGCTATATATCGTTAAGTGATTTTTGTGGACAGAAAAGTGGCTTTCAATCAACACTGAAACCTCCCTGCCCAGAGGGAGTCATCCCAGTGCACTACACATACAGCTAAGTAGAGAGCTCTGTGTGAACACTGAAATAGGATCTTTGCTGAGTTAAATGGGCTTCTATTTTTGGGCTTCCCTGCTGGCTCAGACAGTAAAGAATCTCCCTGCAGTTGAAGAGACCTAGATTCGATCCGTGGATCAGGAAGATTTTCTGGAGAAGGGAAAGGTTATCCACTCCAGTATTCTTGCTTGGAGAATTCCATGGACACAGGAGCCAGAGAGGCTACAGTCCATGGGGTCGCAGAGTCAGACACAACTAAGCAACTAACACTTTCACTATGAATACTGTGGAAAATTCTTAAAGAGATGGGAATACCAGACCACCTTACCTGCCTCCAGAGAAACCTGTATGCAAGTCAAGAAGCAACAGTTAAACCGGACATGAAATAATGGGCTGATTCAAAATTGAAAAGGAGTATGTCACGGCTGTATATTGTCATCCTGCTTATTTAACTTCTATGCAGAGTATATCATGAGAAATGCTGGGCTTGATGAATCACAAGCTGGAATCAAGATTTCTGGGAAAAACATCAATAACCTCAGATATGCAGATGACACCACCCTAATGTCAGAAAGCAAAGAGGAGCTAAAGAATGCTTGATGAAGGTGGCAAAGAAGAGTGAAAAAAGCTGGCTTAAAACTCAACATTCAAAAATCTAAGATCATGGCATCTGGGTCCAGCACTTCACGGCAAAGAGATGGGAAAAAGGTGTAAACAGTGACAGATTTTATTTTCTTGGACTCCAAAATCACTGTGGGCAGTGACTACCGCATGAAATTAAAAGACACTTGCTCCTTGAAAGAAAAGCCAAGACAAACCTAGACAGCGTATTAAAAACCAGAGACATCACTTTGCCAACAAAGGTCTGTATACTCAAAGCTATAGTTTTTCCAGTAGTCACCTACAGATGTGAGAATTGGTCCGTAAAGTAGGCTGAGCCCCAATGCTTTTGAATTGTGGTATTGGAGAAGACTCTCGAGAGTCCCTTGAGCAGCAAGGAGATCAAACCAGTCAAACCTAAAGGAAATCAACCCTGGATATTCATTGGAAGGACTGATGCTGAAGCTCCAATACTTTGGCCACCGGATGGGAAAGACTGACTCATTGGAAAAGGTCCTGATGCTGGGAAAGATTGAGGGTAGGAGGTGAAGGGGATGGCAGAGGATGAGATGGTTGGATGGTATCACCAACTCAATGGACATGAGTTTGAGTAAATTCTGGGAGATAGTGGAGGACAGGGGAAGCCTGGCGTGCTGCAGTCCATGGGGTCACAAAGAGTTGGACACGATTTAGTGACTTAACAACAGTGAATACTTTAGTACTTTAGAGTTCTACAAAGCAAGCAGGCATGCGTGCATGTGTGCACGTTCACACACACACACACATACACACACACACATACACACAGCAAATATCTTCTTAGGCCCGCTATAAGTTGGGGTTGGTGGTCCCACCCTTCAGGCTTGAGTAGGAGACAGAAGTGAAACAGTGCCAAAGTCAGTGACTATGAAAGTTTCCCAGGATTCTTCAGAACACAAAGGAGACAGGCTGGCTGAGAAAGGCCCCATGCACATGAAACTCCACATTTGAGAATGTTCAATTTGAAAGCTCACAAGTAGGTGATATTTCCATTGAATTTTTCAGTTTTTTAAATACTCCTTAGTTCCTAAGCCTATGAAATGCAGTTGTTTTAAAAATGTATGTTACAAATTAGTTTCTGGGCATTTTCAAATTTTTCCACCACTGGCTATGGAAATATGAATTTGAGGTAATATTCAAATGAGAGTTAAAGAAAAAAGTTGAGTTCAGCCAGTTTTGACTGAGACTATGGTTTGGGAAAAAATAATTGTTAAAGGTTTGAGACATAAATATTTCTGGGTAATAATGTCTTCTGATAGCAATACTGTCTTTACATAGTTTCAAGTACATTCTGAACAGTACTATCTGTTGTAGCTTAATTTTCTAGAAATAAACAAGTGATGAACTTTGCAAATTTTTCCTAAGAACCTGATGAATGTGTTTATATTATGTGTAAAATGTTTACAAATGCATATCTTCTACACTTTTATACGAATATGAAGTTTGCTAAAAAACAAAACAGACAAAAAGATACATTGTCTCATTGTCAATAGCTCCACTTAAGGAAATTGAACTAACAGGGCTGTTCCACACTTGAGAGGTTACAATTGTGATAAAAAGGAAAAGCAAGACATGTTCATTTTTAGTAAGAATATCCAGGATATAAATGCTCATCTACATTTTAAATAGAAAATTAAGAATTAGGACTATGGATTCTCTTAAGAAAATAATTCCTGATTTTAAGCAAGAAAACCAACTTAACCATTTTATTTATCTATCCATTTATACATCCACTTAACTAACCAATTGAGAAACTTTGATTTACCTAGATCTGAAAAGAACAGAAATTGTAAAAAGTAAGCTGCCAGCTTTTTCTATAGTGCATGAAAAATTTGAGTGTAAAAGATATTTCCCCTGTAAATGGTTCCCCAGATATTCAGAAAGATCATTAAAAAGTAGAAACTTCCCAGGAGACAAATGACGATCCTGGATTCCCGGTTGGAAGCTTCATTCACATAAATGTGTCATGGATCTTACCTATCTCCTGCTGTTGAAGAGAGTGGATAGAGACAGTCTTCCTGGGTTGTTATCTCAGAGCTGCCCCCACCACAGGAAAGAGCTTTTTCACACCCTGGTTTTTCTCACTCTGACAGAGGGTGAGGAGTCCTCCCTTTGGAGAAAGCAATAACAAGCTCTCTCCAATTCTGGATTGTTTATAGAAGCCCACTCTTTCCAGCTTTGTTCTCACTCAGTCTACGCTTGCACAGCCTAGAAAGCTAGGATCTGCCACAATGTCATGTGTATTCTCGCTAAGGACATACAGGGGCACTGAAAGAAGGAACAGAAAAAGCCACAGGAATTTATACTAGTCACATGATTTCAATTCCCTGGCTGTTCAGACCTTTCAACCCAGCCCTGCGTTAGTTTACTTCAGAGCCAACGCAAGAGCCTGGTGGGGAGGTGCCCTCTTGTACTTCTCTGCCACATCACAGTTGCCCCTTTCTAGCATGAAAACAACAGATTTTAATCTTGGTTAAGAGC